ATGGGGGTGGGGGATTACTTTGCAGGTGGGGGGGGGTACTTGCACGTGTAAGGTGGGGGTGTTTTATTTTGGGGTACAAATTGGGGTAATTTTGGGGTGCAAGTAGCATTATCCTTATTCCTTTTAGCAAGCTGATATATTGAAACTGCCAAACGCAACACAACACCTCAAAGTGCTCTCTCTCTCTTGCTTTAGGACCATCACTTATCGGAAGACTCTTTGCTTTTTAGTTTTCCCTTTTACTTTCTCTCCACTTTTCTCTTGCCATTTGCTCAAATGGATTCTTCTCAGTGGCAACGGGTAAGCATATATATTCAATCCATGTCCTCTACTCTTGCCCATTATCTTTACTTCTCTGGCTCTATATATACATACATATATTTGATCTATTACCATCTATGCCAATAATCAACATATCTTCAATATAATGCTCACTAGGGTTTTTGGAGAGATAGATAAAGCTAAAGAGTGGATTTGGGTTTATATATGCTCTCTCTGTCATGCATCTTTAAACTTGCTTTGGCTCTTGATATTTCATTATGATCTTCTGATCTTTTGACTCTTTGCTTCTTTAAAAAAATTATTCAAAGATTCAAAATCTTCTTTTACATCAAGACATATAACCATTCTTTATTTTCCCTTTGCATAGCTGAAATAAATTCTATTTTCTCTTGATATTTCATTATGATCTTCTTTGCATATTGTTCTTCTTCTTCTTAGCTTCTATTACTCCACTACGCTTTCTTCAGAAAAATAGTTATAACCTATAGCTTAACAATGAAAACAAAAAGGTGCGTGTACCTGCACTAGCTAGTGATCTAGCTCACCCCAAAGCATGTATACAAACTACCCCGTCCCAAAATATTTGTGCAATTTTGATTTTTTGCAGTTAATATTGACAGGTTTTGATTACAACTTAAATAATTTGTAAAATTTATATTAGAGACGGACAAAGTACTTCCCTAAAAAAACCTCCTGCTTTCTTTTTATGGATTTAACAAAACTCTGTCCACCATAGATCTTCTCAGACACTATTCAAAAAGTCAAACTTAATTCACTTTGTTTGTTTATTTTTACTACTCATTTCATATAAAAAAATAATATTGTCAATTCTAGTTTTGTAGAACTTTTCATGTAGTTTATTACTACATAGATTTTATATTAAAATTTTAACCCCTATATTCAAATAAATTGAGTTGAAAATAAAGTCGGTCAAGCCTCTTAACGCCAATGAGAAGATCTTAGGTGGACGGAAGGTGTATAAAATGATGGGTTAAATTTTATTTAGATGAAAGTGATAATTTGTGAGACACATTAAATTGCAATTCTTTTTAAAAATAATTAAGGCAGGTAGAAAGTTTTTTTAAGACATTCAACAAAACAAGTATGAAGGCTTTTTGTGGAATGTAGAAGGTAATTAAATTATTAAATGAAAAGATCACATTTACCACTCCATTTTTTTGTTCCAGTCTTCGTTCCACAACTTTTGTTGTAGTGTACCATGTTTTCAAACACTTTTGTGACTCATCCTTCAATGGCAACCACAAATTTACACTTTTTTCTTAACATTTTATGTCACTACTTACCACACTTTATCTCAAAAATAGTGACACCAAGCTCCGTAAAAAGTAGATAAATATCAAGTTTTATTAGCGGCGATCATGGTACGATATGGTACGGTATTTAATTAACTCATACCTTACCAAATATTTTGGTTCACTATGGGATTTTACGTCACATCGATTCCATTTTACTATGGGATGGTTTGATATTGGTTTTGGGATGAAGACATATGCACCTAATTTAAAGTTTAAAATGTCACAAAAATATTTATTAAACATTAAATACAAGAAATGCTTATTAAACATTATGTATATCTGACAAACTACAATGAACAGATGATAACAAAATGATATTTCAAATGTGTGAGTATTTTAAATTCTTCTACCGAAAACTAGAACTTAAATAAAAGTACAATGTACATATAATAAAATTTGAGTTGAATGGTAATACTCCCTCCATCTAAAAATTATATTAAATTGTTTATTCTCTATAAAAAAATCTCATATTGTTCAAATAAAAAAACATATGTCAAGAAATTAAATTGTTGAGTTGAAAGATAATACTCTGTCTAAAAATTAACCTTCCATTTGATTATAAAAATAAAATATTTCAAAACTATGTTTTAAAATGAATCTATTGAAATCAATTTTTTCTGAAAAATCAATATATTTTTCCGTAATATGTTATCAAAGTTTAAAAAATTTTACCATAAAAGTCAAACTGAAAATTAATTTTAGGATGGAGGGAGTAATTACTTCCATCTTTAGTAAAAAAAACAAAATAAAAAGAAAGATATGAAACGGAGGACATATTTCGTAATTGATTCAGTTAAGTTATTACTACTCCTTCTGTCCCAAAAAAAGGACTTCTTATTTATTTTTTTGGATATCCAAAAAAACCATTGTTCTGAACTGTTGGGCAGGCTAAAGGGGGGAATGATGTAGTCAATAATGGAGTACTGGAGAGGAGTAATAATAATAATAATAATAATCCAAAGAATCCATGGCCAGAAAAGGAGATAGCATTGAATTGTCCAAGGTGCAGCTCCACCAACACAAAGTTCTGCTACTACAACAACTATAGCTTGTCTCAGCCAAGATACTAGCTTTTGCAAGACTTGCAGAAGGTATTGGACACAAGGTGGCTCTCTGAGGAATTAATGTCCCTGTCGGGGGAGGTTCTAGAAAGTACTCTCGCAGAATACCATCTTCATCTTCCCCTAAAAATATTATTACTACCAAAACAACCAATTACTACTGCAACTACCAGAATGGGATGTCTCCATTATTCGTGGTGCCGCCGCAGGCGGCGGGGGAAGCTTGCACTTTGGTTTGGATGGGTTTAGTTGTGTGTTACGTTTTATCATTTATTATTACTACATCAGTATATGTATATACTACTCTCTTATTTTTCTTGTTCATCTTTTGGTGGTTTAATTTGTGCTCGGAATCAGAGTTTGTTTTCAACTGTGATCCCGTTGGAGATAATTAATTGCGCGTTTAATTTCTTGATTAATTCGACGCCGGCCAATTGACAGACTTTATTGTTTGATCGGCTATTTAATTTGATCGGCTATATATTTATTTATAGACACACTGCACACATACACACACATATATAAACACACACAGACATACACATATCTGTGAGAATGGTGCCTGAATCATCTGCACGTACATTTCTCGCACAGCTCAATCCCCGCGCACTGCTCCTTTTGCTCATGTGTCATAGTTTTAAAGCAAAAAAAAAAAATTCATCAACGGTGCTCCATCCCAAACTTGTTGCCGACGCCGATGCCCACTACCTCAGACGCCACTGCACCCCATCCACTGTCGTCGCCGTGTCCTTGTCACTATCACTTGAATCACTGCTGCCGCTAAGCGCTGCTTCATTGCCTCTGTGAAAATCCTGCATTGCCATCACCACCAACATCACGACTCTCTAACATTTTCACTGACACTATCATCACAATTTGCATCGTCATCGTCGCACTGTCACATTAACTTTCAACACAGTGTCAAAGAAAGACATTATGATAAACATAGCACCACATAATGTCATACATGACAATATAAAATGCCACAATGTCCAAATATAATGCCACATTGTGAATTTACATTGCCACACATTGGCATAGTGCCAAATTAAATCAAATCTGATGCCAAAGACATAATGGCAAACATGACATCTTATAATGTCACACATGACAATATATAATGCCACAAATTCTTACATATAATGCCAGAGTATTCATATGTGCACAGTTTTGATATCGTTAAGTTCATATCAACACATTTTGATCAAATCAAATATTATTGCGACAATGCTCTTAAATTATTCTTAATCTAAGGCCAAATAATAACAATAATCTTAGCTATTCTTAGTCTAAGGCCAGATCATAATTTTCATACTCAGACGCTTGAACTGTAATTAGTTTAAGGCAACAATACTCTGACGCTTAAACTTTAATTAGTTTAAGGCAATAGCTCTCCGACGCTTAAACTTTAATGAGTTTAAGGCAAACAACAACTTTCAGACGCTTAAACTATAATTAGTTTAAGGCATAACAAAACAATGATTAAATCATCACAGTCCATTCTAATACGAGGTCTATCTTAACAGGTCTTCTAAATAGACTTAACATCAATTAACTGGATATATCCTACAGTTCTTCTAGATATCCTTAACGATACACATCATTTCCTTGTTTATCTACTTATTCATTTAGAATCATGATTCATTAATGCTTAATCATTATTTAATTCAAGATAGTCAAACAAACATATTTATCCATGATTTCATCTTTACGGTTCATTCGTTCATTTCCATACTTTATTTATTTTTTCAGAGTAAAACCATTATCGTTATGAAATCATAACCATTCGGCCGTCCATTTGATCGTCATAACCAATATTTATTATCAACGATTTTCCATTATGCTTTATCCATCATAACAAATATTTATTCAGAATATTACCAAGATTTGATCATAATAATCATCGTAACATTTATTAACAAATAGCGGCCTAGCGTCGAGTGTTAACACCCTAACTTACCGTGATGCATCAAACAAAGCTTTTGAATCTGTCAAAACAAATTTCCCTAATGTTTTAAGAAATAAAAATGTATTAACCTTATAAAAAAATAGAAATCATCATAAATAGGACTAAAACATAGAGAAAAATACCAAAATAGGACTTTCATGTTTTTTTTTTGAAATAAGACTTTGCACTGTGGTAACGTGACACTGTACATGTGCACATTACTATACTTTTTGGTAATGTACATGACCATGTTTGGTAATATAAGTCCTATTTCAAGAATAAAAACATTGAAGTCCAATTTTGATATGTTTTTAATGTTTAATTTTATATTGGTCTTTCTCCCTAATCTTCTCCAGATAATAAACATCTCCTTAGTAGAAGAATAATACATGAATAATACGGAGTACTAGTATTAGACATTTAGTTATGCACGAAATTTTAATTCAATTCAATAGCAAACACTTTTCTGAGTATCTGTTTCACTAAAACACGGCGCACCGTGTCGGAATTGCGGCCCACTCGGGGAACTGTGTATCCCTTTGCCATCACACCAGTATCTAATTAATTAAGGAAAAAATATATAGGCAGCTCGAATAATGTATCCATTAATTAAATAATTTGCCCAAAATAGTTTAGACATTACTCCGTATTAGATTTGTAAAATTTATTAAATCATTCTATTTATGTTTTTACTTTATTCGGTACAAATGTCAATTAATTAATTAATAATACCATAATTGTACTAGGGGATTTAATGAATGCTCAGATTCACATCCCATATATAATCTCTGATCAAATCTCCATAAAACCTTGTTTCTAAATATACAACTATGGCAACTGACCACCGCAATAATAAACCCAAAACTCTCACGTTAATATAATTACGGAGTAATCATCTTCTTGAATTGGGCAATCAAGAACCTCACCACAATGACAAGAACAGCAAACGATTAGCTAGCCGGACATGGATGGCGGCGACAACGACTGGGATCTCTCCGCAGTTGTGAGGGGAAGAAGAAGAAGTTGCAGAAACCACAACAATGGCGATTCTAGTAAGTGTAACCCCCAATGTGTCAATGACGATCACGGCTCTCCTGGCCAACAGCAGCCAGAGAGCCGTGATGATCATGTAAAAACACGCTACTTTGGCTTAGAAGAAGTCATTGACCGCTTCATCAACCGAGAGAAGGAAAGTGGGAGGGAGGGCCCACAGGCCGGTCAGATGACCGACCCGTGCCCGGCGGCTCTGAGGCCACAGAGCCGGCGGGGAATGTTGCCGCCGGGAAAAGAAGTGCGCGTGGTTGAGGTTGTGCCGGAGAGGGTGGAGGAGTGGGACGGGTGGGTGTGGCGCAAGTATGGGAAGAAGAAGGTGTGTGATTCGCCGCACACGAAGAGCTATTACCGGTGCAGCCATGAGGGGAACACCAAGTGCCCTGCAAAGAAACATGTCCAGCAAAGTCTAGGGGACGAGACCAAGTTCGTCCTTACCTACAGAGGACAGCACAACCACCTTCCTCCTGTCGAGAGCAACGCAACCAAACGTAGGAAGAGGAACGCAAGTTCCTAATCATCCTACCTGCAAATTTTTGTGCTACCAAACAGCAGAATGAGAATTGAAGTTCTCAATTCCGATTCCGTGGCTTGAATTCTGTATATCAAACGGAGCCTGAATGTACAATCTTAGCTTACCATGTTTATCTTCTAGAAAAGGAATATATATAGCTAGTTTCGCCGCGTCTATTCTCTTGGATTAGAAGAAATTCATTTATATTGCCATGGATGGTTAGTTCTTGCTCCACATATTTAGAAGAATGATACAAGGCTTAATTACATGGTTATATCATTATTATGAAAGATGAAGGTGAGGGAATGGTTGTGCTACCAGTTGTCCTTTGTGATTTTTGACTTCTCGAGTATGAACTTGCCTTCTTTGTACTTTTGTGTGGCCTCGTATGCTCGTTCATACTTCCAACCTAACAGCTCATTGCAATCCCCGCAGAATACATCTGCAACGGTGTGAACACCGGTCATGAGATTCCTGTCTTCTTTGGTTCCCACAGTTATGTTCATCACATGAGAGAACAGAAAGGCTCTCCCATTCCTTCCCTGCTAGAAATTTTCAACAGCACAAGAAACATGGTTAAACCAAAGTGACAAACAACAATTTACTGGAAACAATAAAAGCTCTCAAGTTTGTGTGTGTGCAAAACGGCATGTTGGATCTTTATGCTCATTGTAGCTACTTAAGAAGCAGTAGATTTCTTCAAGCCTTTAGGAGTAATTTTTTTCTATAATAGGTGAAAATGAGGGGATGAACTCCTATTTCATAGACATCACCACGGCCATAGCCACACTTCATCAAGGCCTTCTTGGAGTAGGTGTAGCCTATTCGATCACGGGTTTCACGGCCCACCCAAGTTCAGTCCTTTAGAAAAACTTCTATAGACGTTTTTGTATACAAATTTAGATGAAATCCATTATCTTTTCTGGGTGTTTTTGAAGACTTATTGGCTAGACTTTGTCACCAATCCTATCTTAACTTACCAAAACTACATAAGACTTTTCACAAGCCAAGATTAAAATTAAGATAATCATAAACTGTAGTGTTGATTCTTTTGAATCACAAAATAGATTTATAAGCCTATTGATCCACCAAAATCTGGGCCTATTTTGGATGATCTTTTCATGGTCTGGCACAACCTTTCCATGGACCAACCGACTCAGCCTCTCCAACATACCCATATATGCAGAGATCATCAGAATTTATCGGTCGTCTAAGCCCAAAGAATTTGAGTGCTTCTATCGCGCATCGAAGGTGCTCCATTAATAAACAAATGATCACCCTTTATGTGCACCTAAGGTGAATATTATAAGAATTTGTCAAACAGTTCTTATGCCTCCACAACAAGCAAAATAGTTTGGGATTTGGGACCATATAAACAAATCAGACATACATCAAGAAATTACAAAGCAGAAAGAATAATTTCCATAAATAAACAAAAGAATGAAAAAGGAATCCACTAATTCACCTGAAAGGCCTTTGAGATTATGTCATCATGAAATGAGACATGATTTCTGCATTTGCAGCAACAGTATAAACGAGGCCCGACCATCTCATCCATTGGAACCGAAATCCTATGAACAGAAAGAAGTGCAAATAAAGATTGAAACTTTATACCATACTCCGTATTATATAATAACACTGCAAAACAATAAAAAAATTGGGACTAATAATAAAGATTTAACAAAAGAGAGCACTGGAAAGTAGCAATTAAATCTCAGTGGAGAAAGGGAATAAGAAACCCTTTAACTCGAATGGAATTGATGATTGCGCAGAACGCTAGAATGGATGAATAGAGTAGCGTATAGAATTGGATTGATAAAGACTGGAATACTGGATCGTTTCCCTCTTCTTTTCTTCTTTTTTTTCTTCTTTTTTTTTCGAATAAAGAAAACAATTTTAAAAATTATATTTAGGGAGTACTAGTACTAGGTATACGTGGAAGGAGCAAAATCTGTTTTGTGTAGCGGTGACGAGAAGCTGAGTTGTAGGGAAATTCAACCACTATCTACATAGTCAATAAGAAAATGTATGAGGAGATTTTAGTATAATGACCTATTTTATATAATTGAATTTATTATATTAAATGATAATTTTAATAGATGTTAACGATTTTTAATGTGTCGGATGTACGCTTGAAACATAGAGAAAATCATAAAATATTCGAAACTTTTCATACAACACTCGAATATTTGACGATATTCGATTGTTAGTATTCCAATATTGAATGTTTAGCAATTGGACTCATTGAATCACACGCAAATCACTACCGATATTTGAATATTTAAATAAACATTCAAATGTTTACGTTGTGTTTTTTTCACCAACAACCATGTCGAATTAGTTATTTCAAAGATTCGTATCTAATTTCACCAACAACCATATTTTTTTCACCACCAACCCTTACCATCTATAGAGACTCACGATATGTTTGCCGTGAGAAAACGTTCCTATCTAATTGCAGTATTTTTTGTTTATCGGGATTAAGTGGTAGGAAACCGTCAATTTTACAAACGGCATCGAAGCACCCGAGTCATCCTATGACATTGATTTTTATGTCATGAGAACCGATCTCATTCAATAATGATTGGGAAGACTAGGTAGGAATACCCGTAGCCTAATTATCACTCTCTTTGTTCTAGTGTATTTTGTTAAATTAGACTTTTTTGAGTCAAACAAGATGAAATTAGAGTTTGAGTTAAACAAAAATTGTACTCCCTCTATCCCACAAAATCATTTTAATTTTGACTTTTAAAGGATTTAAGAGAAGTGTATTTTTGTGTTGACTTTCTAAAATGCCCTTTGATTTGATGCGTAAAGGTAGAATATGATGAATAGATTAATAGTGAATAGATATGATGTGATGTGATAGGTAGAATAAGAACTAGACGGGGTAAAAATAACTTTTTAATAGAAACAAGAAAGATTTTTTGAGATAGATGAAAAAAAAGGAGAAAGACTTATAAAAATGATTTTATTAGACTTATGTTGTTGCGAACTTTCAAAATTTTGTTTCATTATAATAATATGGGATACAAATTAAGAGTAATTGATGGTTAAAATTTATCCAGCTTAACTCTAAAAAATTAAAATTGAAAAATACACTAGAACGAAGATAGTATTTAAATAGTGAATATTACAAGGTAGAGATCTACAATGCACTGCAGTCACAGAGATGGAATTCCCATTCACCGAGGATTTACAAGCATATTTAGGTCTTTTTCTTTTTGGATTGAAAAAATTAACATATAAAATTTTCCAACTCGTTCCACTTTTTCCAACTCTTAATTCCTTCATACTCTTTCTAATTTCTTCCAACAACAAAATAAAAATGATATTTATATATGATAATATACAATAACATGATGAAATCTTTTTTATCTAAAATTTGAATTTTCTTACATAGTTATTTAGATGATCATTTAATTAAGTTACTTTTAAACACTTTAATTCTTCCAACATTTTCAACTCCTAGTTTTTTCCACATGTTTCCAGTTTCTTCTAAGTCCTAATTTCTTCCAACTGGAATTCCAACCCAAACGAATAGGAACTTATAGTAGGAAATGAGAGACTAGGCCATGTATTGGGCACGTGGTATGTGCTGGACAAATTGAGTGTGGAGGCTCGACCAAAAAGGGCAGTCGGTCCTAGTCTTGGCTCGATTCATATATGGTAGACTGCAATAAATTCGGTTTTTAATAAATTGGGGATTAAGCTTTTAATGCTAGTCTTGTCTTCGATAACACGAGATGAAGAGCTCCAAATTGACGTGAAAACTGAACAGATTGAATCCCTCTGTGTTAGGTAGAAACAATCTCTTAGAATTTCAGCCCGATTGGACCAGCGCATCTCCGGCGATCCATAGTTTCGTACAGGCTGTCCAGGGAAAACAGTGCTGAATTTTTCTTCAAAATATACTGCCTCCCCTGTTTTCTTCAATTCTTTTTTTTCCTTCTTTCGTGACTCTCTACCCCCTCTCTTGCTCTGACTTTAGCCACTAAAAAACACACACTCAAACTCTCTCCTTTCAAAGCTGGGGCCCTCCACAAAGAAAACAACAGGAACAAAAAATGGGGCTTGACCCTCAACATAACAACCATTGAAGTAGATCAACAAATAGTGTTGTTGATCATATCTTTACAAAAAATTATTGGAAGTCACAGGTTATCAAACCATAAGGGTTACAGGATACCATGAGAATACACCCTTACAGATCGTAACTGACACTAGGAAAACCCACAATTTTATGAATCCAAATCATGGAGTAATTCATTGGTCATGTTTTGTTCATCTGATCTGATTGGAATAAATTCTGATTTGGTCTGAATATACTTATTTAAAACTGTTTCTAATCTGATCTGGTCTGATTTTATTCCAATAAGAATAAGTACTCAAAGGGAATCGTTGATCGCCGGCAGAGTAATACGTAAAAAAATAAGTTGAAAGGAGAATATGGTCTAGTCAACTACACTATTGCCATTGGAAAATAGAAATAGTCTTAGGGGTGCAATGGTTTAATACCCTGGGCAGGATAGTGAAGATATTTATTACAGGTTTTTTGCAACATATGAAAACCTCTTCATGCCTTGATGTAAAAAAAAAAAAAACATTCATTTGGAATGAAGCAACAACCAATAGCTGACAGAACTAACTACTCTTTTGTGTATTCTTTTTTTATATAAATAAAGACTTGCTTGTAATTGGCCATTTGTGCTGTTGAACAATACAAATTCTCTCCTCTCAATTCTCTTGTTATGACTTCCAATAGTTATTTTTCATCAATTGTTGTTCACTTAGAGCAATCTTCTTCTTGTTTTTTTGACTGGTTAAACGACAGTGGATTTATATGATTGGCATTCTTGATTGTTTGTTTGGTGTCCACAATCTAATGACTCAAAACAAGTTTTGCATATCACTCTAATTCTAAGTTCTAAGCAATTGTATATTTGCACTTTGTTCTCACAAGAACACGAGTGACACCCTTCTGCTACCGTAACTAACTACGCACTATATTATAAGTCATATGGAACATGTTTTAGTCTTATTTAGGTATATCCCTCCCACAGTAAACTGTATGTGGTTGGAAAGACATGGAAAAAACAATACACTGTAACAAACAAGTGCCATTAGACACTTATCGTGAGAACAAGACTAGGAATTCATGGAATGCGAAGAATTACAAAACCGGACAATCCAAATCACTAGAACAAACGGCTATCTGAATCTGAATCATTCATTCGGATGTATACGGATTTTACGTACTGGTTCTTTTTGTTTTCTTTACTAACAGTGTTATCTCAAGGAGCATCGAGTGCTGGATCAGCCTCCGTCTCCATCAGCGGTGTCCAGGTTTCAACCTCTGCATGCAATTAATTAGGCCCCGTTATAACATTGATTGATACAATTCACTCGAGCCAAAACATTAGGGTAAAGGGGAAAAAAACTTGGGACTGTTGGGAGTAAATTGCAAAGACAGAACTATAGTGAAAAAATTAAAACAGTCTCAAACTCAATAAATCTCCATCTAATGTTTGTTCACACTAATTTCATTTATTTAATTGTCTACTTGGTTTTATCATGTAAAATCTAAAGATAATATTCATCATTTGCCAATGGAGCTCTTGTATAGTAAGAATTGGCCTTAAAAATTAGGGGGTCCTAGTCACCAGTTTAAGTGGCCTGCCCCAAATGACAGATAACTTACTTGGCTTTTCTGCAATAATAGCTCTGAGACGCCTCTGCAGGATGGCTGCCACAAATAGGAAGATTGAGCACATGCCAAACATGACGCTGATGGGGAACGCCGCAACCTTCATTAAAACATGTTTAAATAAAGTTCAGAAAAAAAACATGTTGCCTTCAGAAAAGATGTCCCAGAACAAAAAAAAACAAACACAAGATTCATATTAATAACATACATTGTACAGAACTATGCAAACAAAGAGGTTGAGAGGAATCCTGAAGAAGTTCATTATGGTGCTCCTCGACTCCTCCGGAATGTATTGGGATCTCATCTTCATTATGGAAGGCCAGAAGATTCCCACGCAGGCCTCAAATGTACAGAAACCGAAAACCAGGACACATCCTGCAAATGAAATGCCTCCCCCTTTCACCTCTGAAGGAGCTATCAACAACTGTTGCATCAAATAATTGCAGTTGGGTGATGTAGATAGAAGTTTGAGCTCAACTTAGTCACTTGACTATAGTACTATACTGAATTTGGTCTTTGACTTTTTATTGAACACGTTTGGTTGTTGCTCACAAAACTTGGGCCCAATTTAGTCTTCGAAATATTTTGTTCTGAATAAGAAGGGTATTTTGCCAGTTCCCTAAACTTTGGCCCAATTTATTACTCAATTTGTCTCTCAAGTGCATAACTTAGAACCAATTAGTCCTCAGCACACTAAAATGAAGTCAGCAAACCAAATTGATTATTAGTGCATAGTTGATTGATCAAAATGAGAATTAACAATAAATAGAAAGAGACAACTGAACACTAAAAATGGTTTATTGGGACTTACATTTGTCACAATTGGCAGCAGGAGAGACGCAGAAGAAACAACAAACACCACTTGCATGTAACTCTCAACCTTAACTGCATTACGGGTCAGAAGGCGAGATGCAACTGAGCTTCCTAACATTGATGCTAACATAAATGTTGCAAAGATAAATCCATGAGGAATTTCTTCATCATTTGGACTAAGAGCAGGAGTCCATAAAAACACAAAGGTATACATTGAGCCCTCGAACAAGGATTGTATAGCACCCAACAGTGCAATCTTCTCATCTGATGGACATATAAAACATACAACTAAGTGCAATGCCAAGAACCAAGTCATAA